TACCCCTAAATTGTATTGAAATATTTTCAAACTTCCAGAATGTTGGCTTTTTGTGAAAAATACCCTGTGTCAAGTTTCACGTCGTCATGCAAGGATTGATTCCATTCCAAAATTCCCATTTTAAGTAATTTTTATATAAAAAGTGTGTCAAAAATTATGTGTATCGCAAAACTAATGTCAGATTCAGTTTTTCGTGAGTTCAAATTCAAGTAAAAGATAAGTTATAAATGAATTTTGTGGATCACAGTGCGGAAAAGTTCATCTTACGCATGTAAGACATTTTATTTTTTCATCGAGATTTGCCTTATTATCTCTTTATATATTTCCATTTTTCGTATGCACAACATGTGCCTGTTTGGCTCAGCTGGTGTTGAATTTCGAGTTCAAACACCCATCGTTGACATATTTTAACGTTATTGTTGTAATTGAAGGCCATTAAATACAATGAGATTGTTTTCGATAAGAAAGCTTCTTTATGTGTTTATGATGTGAACGCTCACAATTCTAATTAAAGCTCGCCCATCATATCATGGCATCGACTCGGTCTACGTGTGAAATGGTGCATGAAAGTATAAACACTGACTCTTCTGTCATTTTCCTCAGCGATTCCGTTTCAAAAATGATAACTGAATTAATTCCATTTCAATAGAAACCAAATGAATCGCAATATTTTATACATCAAACGCATCGAACGGTCACTTTCGTTCCTTTTATGTGCGCGTCCGGACTCAGTCGCTCTGTTTGAAGAGTTTATCAACGGCAGCGAGAGAGAGAAAAAATGTTACGAAATCAATCAATTTATTTAATTAAATTGCTCACACTTGAATCGCATGCCGTTCAACCATGTAAATTGAGCCGACTCACCGCATTTTTTTAAATCCATGAGTTCCAGGAGTTTTTTTTAATGGCATCGACATACCAATACACCAGCGGTGGCTATGTTTCGATGGATTTTCTATTGATTTATTTTCATAGAGGTTCTTTTTTCCAAGTGCACACATTGTGAGGGAAACAATAAACTCAACCAATATAGATATCAATGATGATACAAAATCATTCAAGCGAAAGACAATTGTCGATTAAAATACATGCACAACATATTTAAACACATACAGTTTTTAATTCAAAGATTTTTTTTTTTTTTTGCGAAATGGACAATGGTAAAATACACGTGAACGAGACCTTTTTTTGATTCACAAAAAACATCGTTTGATAAGTATTTGAAATAGACCTATTTTTGACAGAGAAAAGAGAGGGACTGTCGGTGAGACAGGGTGGAAGTGAAAAAGACGAGAGTCAAAGACCAATTAATATTTTTTCACATTTAAGAAGTACAGAAGTTTTGAGCGTTTATGATGTTTTTGGAATGATATCCGAAGACTTCGTAAAAATGCAAAAATAAAAACACTTCCCAAGTCTCTTGTGTCTTGTAAACATATGAATAGCCAAGAACTGAAGATATAATTTTGCAATTCACGCAGAGTTGATGTCAACAAACATCAATAAATGGTCATGATCGATCGTACGTATGTCTTTTGTGGTTTGCCGTTCGTTGGTACTTTTTGACGTTCGATTCAATACTAAATATATCTATTTGAATGGATTCATACACTTGTATAATGTGTGGACTGACCTATTGTACATATTAATGGTGTTTGTCACAACGGTAGATCCTTTTCGTTTCCGCAAACAAATATATTTTCCATTCCAAAGTTCATTTATGAATATGTCTCTCTGTCCACACTTTTCTAAATAAAAATCATATCCAGTCAAAAAAAGATATAAAAATACCAGGGGTTCGGAAAAGTAAGAAAAATGGTCAACAATTTGTCCACACTCTCCATCTGGAAACGTCCTGAAAATATTAAAAAAGAGCTCTTCATGTTGGTACACAATATTGTCATTAATTTGGATAGCTCTCACATTGATGAAGTACCAACAAAAACTTGAGAAACTTCCATAACCACATATTGAGTGTTTTGTGGGTGGTTTTATGCACAAAACAAACTTCCACTTTTCTCATGAAATTTTTCTCGTTTTTTTTAAACTCCTGTTTAAAAACATAGACATATAAATCAGGAACGTTAAGCCATACACAAGGCAAAACCAACAAAAAACCTAATGGTTCAAAAATACTGTGAAAAAGTAGGGCAGGTTTTTGCCGAACGGCTACAATCCATTTTATAGAGTGTCATGACCGCTTGAATCGGTTTTTGTTGATTTTCCTGTCAACACTTTGTAATCATCGTTTTTTTTCGGTGGAAAATAATTTGAATGGAATCAAAGTTGTTTTTATCGATTTTGCAAAAAATATACAAAAATATGTGACTCCATTCGTATCAATTTGGTTAAATTAAGAGATGGCCCCATTTTCTCGATCAAAAAAATCGAACAATGTAAAATAATCAAGAAAATAATCGAAAAGTTCAATTAAACTTTGTAAAAAGTCAAATTTTGTACGCGAGCGTCGATAAAAATGTTGGAAACAATGAGACGGAAAGCATTTTCCGACCTTGGACTATATTTTATTATAAATTATAAAAATATAACGTATACATGAACATGAAAATTATTGAAAAATCCATCAATATCAATTTTGATTCATTAGGTCCGGTCGCATGATTTAATGCCATCAGTTGTTCATTATTCATGCCGATATTCCGTTCCATATTTTCGCCGTTTATTTCGAATATGGCTTTAAACAATAACAATAATTCATCGTATGAAAAATGCATTGAAATGGTCATCGCAGAAACGACAAGCTTGGTTAAATATACGATGTATTGTGGGGGCAGCAAAAAACAAACACATTTTCATAAAAAGGAGTGAACCGAGTCCACTGTCAATGGCATAATAAATGTGACAGCAGAGAAATTACCGTGTCGAGTACTTTGTATAAATGCACTTTATTGCCGCTTCCACATCAGTTCATCATTTAACTGGGCCATACACAGATGTGCTTCGACTTCTTACGCCACATTTTTTTTATGTCGCAATTTGGTATTTTTTGCTCCTTTCGTGCGATAACGACCCCAATGGCAAAATGGTTACAAAAAGTGCTCTATCGATGATGTTTGTGTGTTGGCCCATTTTTTCGACGCACCGAAGTGTGCAAATTGTTTTATTATCCGATTAAAGTTTTTTTTACTCTCGAGTGTTCGATTGATTGAATGCACACTTCAATCAAAAGTTGAATGGGGTATTTTCGTTCGACTTTTTTCCGTTCTGTATTTGAATATACTAGACACAGACTTCGATCCATTCTATTCCTCGAAATAAAATAATAATAAAATTTGATTCTGGAGTAAAACTGACAAAAAAAAAACAACAGCATCCAAATAATATGTGCTTGAAAAGATAGCAAACTGATTAAATCCAAAAGTTGTGCAAAGTTGTTTTCGGGGGTGTGTGCCACCGTGCTCGGTAGACTTGATAGTTGGAAATTGAACTTGATTTACATACCAAATAGGAAAATGAAGCGGATAAAGTTTTTCTTCGAAGTTTAATCCAGCTCGTTTTCGTCAGACTGGAAAATATTGAGTCGACGGCATAAAACCAATCAAAGGAACAAGAACAATTGAAGCGGCTTTGTCGAGTCGAGATAAGCGCTTCAAGCTTCAATACATTTTAATGGCACCATAAGTCCGACGGATCTGATTGACACCTCCCTGCGGTTTGTGAGACCCTCCTCCAACAATTTTTCCACCAAGAACAGAATTTACACTAAACTGAAACGATTTTTAACTGAGACCTCCCAACGACTTTCTGCCATGACCTCCCTTTAGATTTACCAGAACCTATAAACGGCATTTTTTTCCACAAAATGCACTGAATCGAAAAGATTTTGTATGTGTGAACTAGGCGATTTGGGTATATTCCAATTTGGAAACGTTCCAACTTAAAAGACAAACAAAAAAGATGAGAATCAGGTCAATCACCGATATAGAACAATTCGTCATCGATATGGCAATCATCCCTATTTATTCAGCGAAAAAAAATATATTTATCAGTTTTGAATATATTTAGAATAAATCTAATTCAATCTTTTTCTTGCCAATCAGAGTGGAAATGATAAAAATATAATAAACTTGAAGTAGTCAATGTAAATAGAAGATTTAAATAAACTCGCATATCTCTTCGCATTTATTATGGAAAAATGAACGACCGTTGCGATGAGTCGATGAAATTCTCGTTTATACGATGGAAATCATAACGATTTTTGAACGAAATGGAAACAGTTGTTGTCAGTGTTGAGTAATAATAACATCTGCAAATTTTCACATGATTACGATATCATACAGGCATTGAAAAGTCTATCAAAAATTATTTGTATCGCAAAACGCATATCAGATTTATTAAAATAACTTATGTTTAGGTTTTTCATCACCAAAACAAATAGTTTAAAATTCTATGGCTAACGATTTCCTTTGCTTTTCTTTCTAGGTAAGTTCATCCTCAAACTTGAAAATATAAATTTAAAATGGACTTTTGGTTTGTATACATTTTATTAATAACACATTCTTATACTCGTTAGATTACTATGTTGAATGGGGGAAAGATTCAACAGTTAGTAGAAAATATTTATTATGTCTTTTGAGAAAAAGTTGAATTTTAAAATTGATATTGAAATACAAGAGGTATTCATTAGGAGGTTCTTACAAAAAACCATATTGGGTCCCAACCAAAGGTTTTTTTTACTTTTAATATTTTGTCACTCAATACTTCTCCGGCTCCTCAGAGCACTCCTCTCCACATTTATTGCTCTGAGAAGTAGTCTCGAGACAGATCTGTTTAACAATTTTTCTGTGTTTGAAGAATATTCGAGAAAAAGCGATAAGAAAATTCATTCTTGTTAATGTATGCTAATTTCACGACTTCCGGCGAATTACATATTCTTTGCGAAAAAAACGTGTTCGGGAACGAAATTTGAATTGTAAATGTTTCATTAAATATTATTCGATATAAAAATGGTAAAAATTGAAAACAAAAGATATAGATTCGTTTGAGCAGCTCAATAAATTGGTGAAAGTGCTATGTATTTTGGACAAAAAATGAAGCCGATCGCTATCTCTACACTTTTGAGTAAAATTTGATACAAATTTCATATAACTTCAAAGGTTTCACAATATATTTTTTCAAATACAGTTATCCTGGCAGTAGCTTTGTTGGCTGAAGCCGTTCCTTCGGTAAATAATCTAGAAAAACTATATTTTTATCACTTAAAAAAGCTAGCGGAACGAACCGAAATAAGTTTGTATGAAGAATATCAAACCGGTTTCGATCGCTACTAAAAAAAAACCAAAAAAGTCCAAAAACGTCCAACTGATGAAATGCCATATTTTAGGGTAGAAAGGAACCACCAAACAAGCATACAACCAACATCATTTTTGAAGGAAAATTAATGTATGCATATTTTCGTTCAAATGTAACTATTCGCCCAATTAGATTATTAATAGACACTGGAGCTGGGATGACAATGATTACATCCGATGTGATTAAGCCAAATGAAATAAATTTGAAAGATGGCATGAAATATTGGGGATTGATTCCAGATGCAAAGAAAAACACACTTGGAACTACCTATGGTGATCTATCATTTTCAGGCAACGCAACAATATCCGCAAAAATTCAGATAATTGATCGAAAAGATTCATTTTTTGGTGATGGCATTTTGGGTTTCGACACCATGCAAAAACATTTTGTTGAAATTGATTTTCTCTCACGACAATTAATCTATTGGTCAAACAAGAAATTTAACTTAATTGATTTTTTATTTAAATAAAGAATTTTCTTAGAAAAAAACCGAAATAAAACCAATTTTTCTTCCAAATGGACCAACATTTACATTTGTTTACTTTATTTTCCACACAAACGAACATCTTGAAGAAAATCGGTTCCGTTCAGGTCCATCTGTTCGTGATTGTTTTTTAGGTCAGGCGGACATGTTCCAAAATGTCCGGGTCCATTTGACACCAGATTTGAGATCAATTGATTTGAAAATCAACAAATCAAATCGCAAATAATTTGATTTGAAGTGTCATATATTTCAAATCAAATGATTTGAATATTTTAATTTGAGAAAATTCAAATAAAATCAATTTATTTGATTTTTATATTGATTTGAATTCTCAAATTTCTCAAATCAAATCAAACATGTGTTTATTATTTTACTAAAAATGTTTAAAAAAGTTATTAAAAATATGAACGAGAATGAAAGTGAAAAAGTTGGAATGGGCAATTGAGTTCGCATTTTTGTTGCGGGTCTCATACGTTGTGTCTCAACAAATTTTATAGTCTAAAACTTTTAAATACACTTTTGAGTAAAATGAGAGCCTTTAAGAACGTTTCAATCGAGATGCACTTACAAATCGAACATACCACAGTCTAACAAAAATATTTTTTTTGAACGTTTTCAGTAAAATAATCGACACATTTATGGCTTGATTTGAGAAATTTGAGAATTCCAATCAATACAAAATCAAATCAATTGATTTGATTTGAATTTTCTCAAATTAAAAAGTTCAAATCATTTGATTTGAAACATATGACACTTCAAATCAAATTATTTGTCATTTTTTATTTAGAAATTTTCAAATCAAATCAATTTATTTGATTTGTGATTTTGATTTAAAATCCAATTTTGAGAACCCTGTCATAATTCTACATTCGATATGAAAAATTATTTCTTTGATTCATTTGATAATTCGTTATACGAATGATAATTCGTTATTTTTCCACACTTTTTATTTTTCAGTTAATTCCAATTCATTTAAAAAAAATCTGTAAAAAAACAGAAATCAATATTCATGACGGTATAAGATACCTAAGAATGTAAATTTTCAATCTATGCAAATGAATGGAAAATACCGATGTTTCGGAAGTCAAATTAAAATTGCAAATTTCACATCAAATATTATTCGATATAAATGCGGTAGATTTGGTAGTCAAGTTCGGATTCAATAGTTAGCGAAGTAAAATGAAGAATATGAATTTGACAACAATCGCTCTCGTAATAGGTAAATACTTTTCTGTTGAATTAAATAAAGCTTTCTAAACGCCTTCTCTATACTCTTGCATAGTTATTCTGGCAGTAGCTTCAATGGAGGCAACATTTTGTGGTCGTTCGGTAATTTTTGATAGTTTTATAAACAAAATCCACCTTAACGAATTGAATCATATGTTTTAAACTCTAGGAAAGAGAAAATGAATCTCCAAAAAGTCCAAACGAGCACACTGCAAATTTTGTAGTTGAGAACTGTAAGCCTTTTATAATTTTATGGTCAAATATAACGATTAAACCAGTGAAATTGATGATCGACACTGGAGCAACATTGACGGTAGTCGCATCAGATCTGGTCAACCCTGATGTATTGGATACAAGTGATCGAGTTTCAATATATGGAATTGCTGGACCAGACGCCAAAATGGAAACGCTTGGTGTTGCGCACTCCATTCTTTCATTCAGTGATCACAAAAAAGTCGATATAGAAATACACGCAATAGATAAGAAATATATTAGAGGATTATATGATGGATATTTTGGAAATGATTTAATGATAAAATATAAAATGAAAATTGATACTAAGAGGTCAAAGTTGATATTCAGATTAAATGGCGATTATTGAAAAGTGTCGATCGAAATTTTTATTAAAACCAGCCTCTCATTGAATTATCAATAAAAAAAATAATATTTGCAAAAAAAATTGACAATTTTGTTTACCCCCAATTTTATTGTATCTGTAATGAAACATTTTTCAACCTTGCATGCATGTGTGTTACTATTTGGAATTTCAATGCCAAATTACGTATTTCATGTTAAGCTATCGCTGTAGAGTCAAATTAAAATTCTTTTCACACAGTTCTCGCACACATTTGATGGAACTGTTTACGACGTGAAGTTTGTTCGAAAAAAAAAAATGACACCGTTCACCATGCTCGTGGGTACTGTTTAAAAAATCTTTCTTTTAATTTCTTTCTTGAGTTTTGAACTTTTTCAAATTCGCCTCAATTTATCATTTCCAATTTTCTCAAAGTTGCACTGGAAATCGTTTCTGTGAAAGCCGGATCTTGTGGATCTTCGGTAATTCCTTTGCGTACCTTTAAAAAATTGAAAAAAAATGTGCAAACTTAATATATTTTAGAGTGGCAGTGAAAAAAAGAAAAACATCCATACAACGGATATAATAATTGAAAATAACTTACCATGCGCGATTTTTGATACAAATGCAACGATTCGTCCGATTAAACTAATGATAGACACTGGATCAACAATGACCATAGTTGCATCAGATGTACTAAAAAAGGGAGTCATTAATACAAGGGATCGTACCTCATATGGCGGATTGGGCACATCGACCGGAATAAATACACTCGGAGTTGCATGGGTGGCTCTACCGTTCACAGGTGAAGTCAATGTTACAATTGACGCAAGAATGAATCTAGTCGATCGGAAATTTACACATGAGTGGGACGGCATTTTGGGAGCTGATGTCATGCTTCACTATCGATTAGTATTGGATATTCCCACCCAAAAATTGATTTACAACACAAAGAATAATAGCAATTTATTAAATGCTTTATGTAAATAATAAATGCTGTACGAATCCACTCATGAAACCTTTAACGAATAAAATGAATATTTTTGCCAATTCTGAATTCGAATCTTCTTTTGATTGAATTTTTTCATTTGAAAATTTAAGTGCTTTAATTTAATTAAAACATTTTCGACTAAAAGAGACGTAAACTTGAGGTAAAGAAGAGCCACGCATTTAAATTCCGATCTATTTTTTGTTTCAACGCCGTATCTATTTGGTTTCTCGATCACAAAGAAGTTTTGAAAAACAGTCGTTCTACGAATTTCTGTTGTTTACATTTCATGTGTGTTCTTCAAAAAATATTTTGTTTTCTTCACAATTATCAAATTACGTCAAAAAAAATAAAGAGTCTTACGGGAGTAAGACGAACTTTTCCGCACGGTGGTAGTTGCATATTTTTTTATTAAGCAAGTTCAAAATAATATTTTTTCGATTTTTCAAGCCCTTCAAGCGGCGTAAAGTTTGAGACCAAAAATATGTTCAAACCTTGGCATCGAAATATTCTTTAATTTAATAGTAGAAGTACTCGAGAAAAGATTTTTCACAATTTCATGATGAACCAATTTGTATGACATTTGAAAGTATTCTATTTTCTAATAAAACAGTATAAAAAAATATGTCTGACGTTAATTTTGGTATAAAATTTATTTTTGAAACACTTTTCATAACTAAAATCACAAAAAATTAGAATTTTTGTATGGGAGCCATGTCTGTATGCTACCTTAATGGTGTGAAACTCTGCACAGGTTATTTTTTTCACAAAAAAATATTATTCGGAGGGTTTGGAGAAATTTCAATTAAAATATTTGTTTTTGAAAATTTTGTATGTTAGGTACCCCTAATTTTGATTGAAATTTCTTCAAAGTTTCAGAATATTTTTTTTTGTAAAAAATAGTCTGTGCAAAGTTTCACGTCATTGAAGTAGCATACAGGCATGGTTTCCATACAAAAATTCAACTTTTTTGTGATTTTTTCAAGGAAACTGTATCAAAAATTGATTGTATCTCAAAACTAGCCTCGGATTCGGTTTATTCGTGCCAAAAAACCACCCAATACATATTTTTGGGTGTTTAAGTCTATATTAAGTATGACTTTTGGACGAAAATTGGACTCCAGGCATGAGATTATTTTCCATCAACCAAAGTCGCTCGAAATCTAATGATTTCTATTCCTCGCGACCCCCAATCATCCTATACAGTCAGATTTTAAATAACTGTTTTGGGGGTTGAGATAATCGATGGACAAATTTTGCGTACAACGTACCACGTGGAACAGACCCACAACAACCATGCTTAAAACGGCCTGATTCGGGTTCTCTGACCTTAGAAACGTCCAGGAAACATATTTTTGAGGTGTCGTAAATCTTGAACCATTGCAATACCTTCCCTTTACACACTAGGTGTGTGCGGAAAAGTAATTCTACCGAAAACTAGATAACAATGTGATTAATTTATTATTACGAATTATTCAAATTTTTAACGCGAAGTATTCCCGAATTCTTGATTAATTAAAAACAAATTCTTCAATCTTGTTTGTGAAACTATTGTTTTGTTCAAATTAACATGAAACTCTGAATATTTTGTGAACGTAATCAATTCGTCTGATTAATTTATCATTTCACAAACTAAGTATCAAGTCACAAATGAATTCAGGAACGATAACTATATTTTTGGGTAAAGAAATATTTCGAAGATTTTCTTTTGTCAAAAAAATTCAAATCGATAATAATTTTTAATACAGTGATGCTGGCAGTGGCTTCAATTGAAGCTGGACTTTGTGAAAGTTCGGTAAAAGTTTTCAGTTTTATTATGATCAATATGATTAATAATGTCAATTTTAGGCAAGAGGCACCGAATCGAGCAAACAACACGAATTTTCGCTAAATTTAAAAGTTGAAGGTCGTTCGACGTTTGTAACATTGAGCTCAAATATAACGACGCGCCCGTTAAAATTGCTGATTGATTGCGGAGCAACTTTATCATTAGTGGCGTCCGATGTGATTAAACCGGGTGCCGTTGACGAGAGTCACCGAGAGATAGTTTATGGGTGCGAAAATAGAGATATAGAAACACTTGGACTCGCACATGTCATGATTTCATTAAAAGGCAATAGAAATATTGATATACAAATGCATGTCATGAATAGAACTAATATACGACCGAACTGCGATGGTTATTTGGGATTTGATGTTATGGTCAAATATAATATGACAGTTGATTTGGATAAACACAAGCTCATCTTCCGATTTAGTAGAGAAGAGTGACAACTTGCATTCAAAACCCAAATTCATTTTGTCAATAATAAAAAAAATACTGTTCTTCACTTCAAGTTTTTTATTATTTCATTTTCTTATTTTGATCAACGATGTCAATTTTCGAGCTGAATTTTGACGGTAAATTATGTCAGAGTTGATATGAAACAGTATAAAACTTTCGAGAGCCTAAGATCTAGTATTTAACGAACATATCATTTTCTTTGCCGCAAAATCAATGACTGCTCTATGTCGGTACATGAAATCAAATCTAAGGGTAAAATAAGCCTGCCAGATTTTTTTTTTAGTCGATCCGGGCCGGATTATCCGGGCGATTTTTCTCTAAATCCGGGCGAAATCCGGGCGATGGGGCCCAAAATTGCCAATTGAAAATCCGGGCGAAATCCGGGCGAAATTCAAATTTTTTTTTTTCGATCAATATAATATATGAGTAAAACAAAAGAAGTTGATACAAAAATCATATTTTTTAATCAAAATATTAATAAATAAACTCGCATGTAACCTTAATCAGAAATTTTTAACTAAATATGAGCTTAAGCTGTAGTGGAAGTTGAGAGTAACTGTTCATTTGATTGTGTCTTGAACAAATCGGACGTTTTGTCGTATTTTTCATGTCCCATAACTTTACGAAGCAGTTCGGAATCACCCTTGATTTTTTCGTAGAAGTTTGAGCAAGAATCATTCCAATTGAACTTGACCATTAACCGTGAACGAACATTTTCAATTTTCAAGCTGCCTTTTTCTGGTGTCCAAATGTCATTGATGTGTGAAAAAACGCGTTCGACTGTTGCATTTGTAGCAGGAATGACCAATGCAAATTCTACCAACTTCAGCAACTCACTAAATGGCACCGATTTCTCATCAAAATGACGAAATATTTTGACCCACTTTTTGTCAGTCGCCTTTTCCTCTTTGATTGAATTTTCGTTTACATTCAAGAATGCTTCCATAATTGAGAACTGATTGAAGAGCTTGTCCATATCCACTGAATTGAAATAGTTTCGTCCAGTCATCCATAGTGCAGCACACTCGATATCATTCCATTTTACTTTGTTGTTTGGCCGAATCCAAGAAAATACTTTGACATCATCCAACCATTCAGTCCAATCATTCAAATACTTCAATACCGTGCGATGAAATGCCTTGACTTTATCCATAAACTTTCGTTTTGGAGCACCATTGTTGACTTTCTCACTTGCAGTGCGGAATTCAGATGAAAAATAATTATTTTGCAGCCGACTTTTAACATTAGTTTTCAATTCATCGATTGTATGGCACGCATCAACAGCACAAATGTAGTCTCCTTCAAGTCGCAATATGGCATTTTGAAAATTCTCTGCTTGATCTCGAACGAAAATCAACGTTACCAAAGCGAATGGGTCATCGAAAAATTCCAAAATTTTCACAGGTGCATCGAAAGAATGAAAATATTCATTCAATGCGTCGAAATTGGCAATGATTGAACTCAAACATTCTTTCAACGCTAAGAAGCGCGTTTTGCTGTAGCCTTTCAATTTTACGTATGTTTCACCAATTGCATCACAAAAATCTTTCAATGTATTCAAACGAACAGTGTATCGGTAGAAGTGTGTATAAATTTTCACTGCGATGTATTCAACGTCAATGTCCAGCTTGTCAGAAGCGTTGCCTATCGCATTGTGAAGTGAATGAGCGGTGCAACCAGCTCCAATCATATTCGCATTGAAACGTTGTTTTAGTTGCTTGAATACATTTTTGCTGCCTGTTCGATGAACGGATCCAAAATTGGTTGGTGCGTTGTCACCAGAGAACACGACAATTTTGTTCTCAATGTCATAATTGTTTGCCGTAACGCTTAGCAAATTCACGATTATGTCAGCAGTTTCACCTATTGAAAACAATTTTATTTTAGTAAAAAGAACACAATCAAATCATTCATTTGATGAACCTTTTTGATCTGATAAATCCAAAACCTTTGTTTTGAGACCTTCGAGTGCTGCAAAATAACGAACAACAACGGGAAACATTTTGATTGCACCATGGTTTGAAGCATCTGTTGCGATCGAGACGAAATTGCATGATTCCAATTCCTTTTTCATTTCTTCGACAATTTTTGGAGCAAACACATTTGAAACAATTGCTGCGCATTTCGTTCTACCCAATCGGAATTTGTTTTGCATAAACACTTCACGAAAGATACCGCTTTCACAGTCAGATGACGCAAATGATTGATTTTTGTGTATTTTGTGGTAGCACCACAATGCTTCTTTCGCTGCATTTTCAATAGCTGCTTTCTCATTAGCTATATATGTTCAACCAAAATAAAAATATTGATTGTAATGAAAAACATCACCAAGAACAAACAGCAAATAGAAATACAATACCATTGAACAAATTCGACAACGTTTTTGTACCAGCAACTTTTTTCAGATTGGCGATATGCTCCTTTGTATTTACGTGCTTTTCAATATCAGCCTTGCCTTTGTGGTGAATGGACAAATCTTTGTTGCAATGCATGCAATGACAATGGTCTGATTTCCCATTTTTCGCTGCCGTAATTCCCGGATAAAGTTTGCTGTACTCTGGATTCCACTTACAGCTACCACTCTTTGGACCAGGCATTTTTATTTTGCTTCTCTTTTTGAATGAACTGAACTCAACAATAACACAGTGCAAACTGATATGTGTTCGATGACGATGTCGATCATTTCTGCTCAGATTGCTGAATATATTTTGCATCATCGATTCAAATTTGTTTATTAACACAATAAAAAGAATATCTTTCATTTTTAATACAAATGATTCGATTGTTTTTATAGTACGTATGCGAGAAGAGAGAGTTGTCAAACCAAAGTGAAATGTCATTCAGTTGTACACAAGTGAAGTACTAGAATTTAATATAAAATGAATTTCCAATACGCAGAATGAGTAAAACATTAATGGAAATTTGATTTTTTTAGCTTCATTTTGACTTATGGTTTTGGTAATTGTTGAAAAAAAAATTTGAAAAAAAGAAAAAAATTGTTGAAACGCGTCTTTTTTTGATTTTTTTTTTAAAAAAAGGAAAAAAAATCCGGGCGAAATCCGGGTTTTTTTCTTCATATCCGGTGATCCGGGCCGGGCGATTTTTCGTCCGGGTTTTGCTTCAAAAATCCGGGCGACACCGGATTTATCCGGGCGATCTGGCAGGCTTAGGGTAAAAAGTTTACCGTTGATATTTACTTTTGTGAATGGTTCTAAATAGGTGCCACGTGTTTTATTTGACTATTACGTTGTAAAATTCACTGTTGCCTAGAAAATCCATAAGTTTTCGTAGTGATATTCGTACGAGCAAAATGGTTTTCACACAGATATCTTTGCTCTTAGTTAAATTTTTCCATTAATATGGATCAAACTCAACTAAACGAACCACTTTTATAATGCCACTTTTTTCATACAGTTGTCTTGGAAATGGCCACGGTTGAAGCAGGATATGGATCATCGGTATAATTTCTGATGTTTTTTTAGCTGTAATAAAAAAAAATTAGTTTCAAAAATGAATGTTCATCTTCTAAATATCATTTTCAACACAAAAGTCGCTTGAAATTAGTAAAAGTGTTCTTCAAATTTTTGTTTTCAAATCACTTTAGAGCAAAGACCAATCAATCGCATATCACACGGAGATAATAATTGAATCGCTGCGGCGAAAAAGTAGCTCTTATTTTTCTCCAAATAATACTGCAACATAAAGTTTTTTATGAATAGGTTATTTGTTGTATTACAACAAATAAACTATTCATAAAAAAAATTAAACAAAAGTGACTTACACACTGACTGTGCGCAAAAGTAAAATAACATAAACATCAAGTTACAATTAGAATACTAGTTGCCATAGTGATGTAAACAAGCAAATTGGCGATAAAAGTGAGATCATTTATTATCAAAAATATGAAAATGTTCCACACATCACGTCTTAATTTGTAATCACTTCATTTCGACATTGAATTATCTCAATAAATACGTTGTGCTTCCGATTTCAAATGAAAACAACTTTCCTAGAAATATACACATCAGCACATGGGTGAATAATAATCTCTGTTGTTTCAAAATATTTTGATTACAATTTAAACAACTCAGAGCATGGCGAGATAAGGCGTTCTATGAGCATTCAGTTTAAATGACACATTTCAAAAGAACAAGACACACATTTCATTTGACAAATTTTAAAATTATTCGTGTCTTAATTCAATTACGAACATGAATAAAAGGTGAATCGAACGTAGATCGAATTCATTATGAGAAATTCCAGACCGGTGTTCTCGCTATTAGGTAAACATTTTTATGTTAGTTTTTGTGTGTAACCCAAATAACTCTGTGCATTTGCAGTTGTTTTGGCAGTAATCTCATTATCACACACGAAACCGGTGCAACGGGTAAATATTCAAATTGTAAATTAAAATTAGCAATTCGAAGATTACATTTTTCGTCTTTCGCTTGATCTTAGAAGACAAACGATAAGGATTACTATTGTAGCGATGAATTGTCGTGTAAACAGTATGAAATATTGCCCGACGGAAATTTTATTGAAAAATTGGTGAGACATGTCATGTGTACTAATGGAACAGTGAGTTGAAACAATGATTGGATTTCATTCAAATAAAATGTAAATTAAAAAATGCGTTAAAATCCGTAGTTTGGTCCGTCTTGTAAAAATGCAGAATATCTCCCCATTACCGCCGACTTGAAGGTAATGTTATTAAATGGGCACAATGAAAAGCGAAATTTGGTCGCACAGGGAAAACTCGATGGTGTTTTTCGTGGCAAAACAGCGGCTAGAATGGCTACAATAGTAAGTGTTTAAATTGATATATGACAATTGGGAAGTCACATGAAATAATTGAAAAAAAAAATGTAATAGGTTTGGGACGATGAATTGGAAATGATTTCAGCCCAAAATGTCGCACAATGTGAAATTAAACACGATGAATGTCGCCGGACAAAGCGTCATATCTATTCGGGTCAAAATTTAGCACAAGTTTGTTCGGTTCCAACATTGATACCGGTTAAAGATGCAATCAGTCGATCTATGCATGACTGG